TTGGTCAGGATCACATGCTCTGGCAGCACATGCTCTTCCACACCCAATTCATGGGAATTTGGATCGACAGAAGCCCTGTTTAAACTGCTTGTCATCACCATTCTCACAACCCAATGAGGTGGTAGCATGTCAAGAGAAGTGGAATCAGGAGGGGACTGGCCAGTCACTGTCGCACACAAAGAACACAAAACTTAGCAAATCTCAGTCCTCTAGCTTCCATCATCAAAATTATTTTCTAACTGCTCATTATTCTTTGGTGAAATACATGAAATTAAGAAACTTTGGTGATAACGATCTTGGGCTGACACATTTTCCTCTGTTATCCAATGTTACTTTGTGTAATAAAACATTATTAATTCAAGGAGTGATTTTTCCACAATGTACTCACCTCTAGGAATTTAAAACAAATAGAAATTGGGCAGCATCCCACAATTAGTAGATAATATCAAAAAGAAGGGTTGTTTGTTTGTAACAAGGTCTGAACAGCCACCTATAATGGAGTTTTTGTGGAATATCAGCTGTAACTCAACTCCTGAAATCAGTCAGTTAAATTGAAAGGTTCACCTTGATTAGATTCACTGTCTGTTGAAGTCTCCTGGGATTGAGATCCTTGGTTTTCATTGTTGTTTGATGGTGATCTATTTTTTTGCAAGGCAGTTCTCTCTTTGGGAGATAAAAGTTTGCGTATTTGAACAGTTTTTTCCACTGTGCCATCTGGTGGTGGAAATGTTTCCCAGTTACAAGTCCATGACTTCAAAATTAGTGGCGGCAAAGATGTAATATCAACAAAGACAGTTGTGGGTTGTTGAGAATAAAAATTCATGGATTCTACAGTGCTGCCTTTATTTGAGACCTCAGGGTCACCTTTGATATTTGGCTGAACTCTCAAGTACATCTCAAAGTCAGAATCATCACCACTATCAGTACCACATTTTTCACCTTTCTCTGTGATTGAAGATAAGGGTTTCCAGTTCTCTTCATTTTTAATTTCTTCTGGGTTCAAGGGTTTGCAAGTCTGATTTTCATTCACAGGGTTCTCCTCATCACAAGGGTTGAAAAAAGACTGCAAATAACATGAGACTCTTGATAAAAAGCCACTGTTGGCAATGCCATTTTGCTCCTCTGCATTTGTGGTTCTAGGAAGTGAAGGCCATGATGACAGCTGATCACCATCATCAAAACAAGAAACATTACTTGTTGAAGCATACTTATTTTCAGCACTTGTGCCAGTATGTATTTTATTCTCTTGTTCTGTGTTCTCTTTGCCAAAATGAACTGGAGCTTGCTGAGGTTGTTTTCCTTTAGGAAATGTTCTTGTTTTAGGTGAGACAATCACTTCAGTAAACTCATCAAGTCTGACACAATTGGCATCTGGCTCAAGGTTAACTATCAATGGGAAATAAACAAGAATAATAGCTCATTAAGGAAAGCTGAAGGTGTTAAAACAGTTACAAAGCTCCTGCAATTATGTTCTCCTCAACCAGCTCCTCTAGCATGATAGTAATAATTATAAATAAAACATCAAACATCAACTCAAAGTTTGTAACAGTCAATCTCTCCGGCCATACAGAACAAAGGAAAATATCACATGGAGCCATTGTCAGTTCAGAATAAAAACACACAAATTGCCTGAACTGTAGGATTATGTATATTACGTAAAAAAGTCATGACTAGTCATGGGTTTGTGTCTGATTGGTTGAGAGCATAGCACAAGTATTCTGGACCAATCACTAAGCAAAGTAAAGAAAAACTAAAAGGACTCCTTGCCCACTTCATACTCTCAACTGATATTTCCTTCACTTCAAATTGTTGTGGTGGTTTCATCAACATGTGGTGGTTTTATCAACATCCAACCATTTCTAATCATAAGGTAACAGTTTAGTAACAACCCACTACAGATTAAGGCTCCCTATGAAAGATGTGATGAGAAAAGGCAACCAAACCCAAATGTAGGGAGGTTCCATGCTTTTAATTGTCACTAAAGCATACCAATTTGGACAACCACACACATATTGTTTTCAATCCATATTGGCAATATCTGTCCTGGGAACACCACTCTCACTTGGTTCAGAAGCTGACTTTCTATGTAACCAGCATGGAGTTCCTAACAAAGAAATTAAAAGCAACCATCCATTAGATGTTACTGTAACACTAAGTGCAAGAAATGTGTTTTTACCTCAGCTTGTTTCACAGCTTTCTCTCTGAACATATTACTTGCTATAGAGATTCATCTCTACTTTAGTTCACATGTATGTATTATGTGTCAATCAATTTGAAGCTTCAGCATCCTCCCCCCAGGCAATCCCCCGTGCATTTGAACTTTTGAAGATTGGGTCATTCAAATTCCTTCACCCCAGGAAATTGAGTTCAAATGGCCCACCCAATATTTTCATAAAAGGCAAAATCAGCAAGTGTGACTTTCTATATACTGTATTGACCAAGCTTTAAAACCTAGACCTTGTGGACATTTTCTTCTATGCCATAACCTGTTGAATTTTATGGAGAACTTCCTAAAAAGGTTGGAAGAGTCTTGCTGAGGTAAAATTGGTTAGATTGCAAACCAACTAACCCTTAAGCTCAGGAAAACAAAGAAGCCAAGAGCTCATGATATAGCCTTAAAATAAGGGTACGTAACAGTCATGCAACTATCCTAAATTCATCAAATTAAATTTCAACAAGATTCTTATTTAGTTGTAGCTAAAAATTCAAGGTTTTTAATTTTAGGATGCAGCGAGTGGAAATGGTCATCTGGTGCCTGGAGAGCATTCCAGGCACAAGTGAGTCATTACATCCTAAGGCCAGCATGAAATAGACATGTACAACACACATCTCAAGAGTGGGAGTGCTAATCAACCTTAAGCATTGTAACATGTTCACTCACTAATATTTCCCAATCATTGGCACTGACTGGATCCACATTTATTCTGTTACATGATGGGATACCAACCACAGGTTCAACTAAAACCTAAAACACAAAATGGAAAATTATAATTACACATCCATTATAAAAGCCTGATAGCATTCAAGAGACTTGGACCAAACTAGGATGTTAAAATCTGATTAAGTAAACCAAATGGTAAATATTGGCCACTGACAGTTTTACAACTTTAGTTTTCTCGTCAGTTTTGGCTTTGATTCCATAACACCTCACAAAATGTTGGGCTAAACGTACCCTTTTGTACACACTTTCGTCCAACTTGAAAATCTTAAACTTAAACTTTTAACCCTTTGACCTTTAATGCTTTGACTCCCACAAGTGACCAAGACAGAATTTCTCCTTACAATATCAATACAATATCAAGCAGGCAGGTGATGAGAATAGAGATGAATATCAATCATGGGATTATTAGTTGATCCAATACCAAATTCTCTGAACTAACATCATAAGAATTGTATATCAGATAGTAAGGAGAATTACTAATTAGATCTTGGGAGTGAAAGGGTTAAAAGAGACAAGCATTTGATTTCTCCATACACCTTACAAATATCACCACTGAATCAAACATTAAGGCCACATGAATAAAGGAAATGATCACCAACTAGAGGGGGGTAAGATTATTTCCTGTACAACATAATACTGGGTATGGCTACAATTATCAAGTTGAACAAAATGCTCCATTCTTACCTGCTGATTATCATCTAGTCCTAGTCCATCTGCAAATTTCTTTCCAAGTTGGACAATTGATGATGAATCATTCAGGATATCACCTCTCTTGCCACGTGTCACTTCACCAGACCAGCTGGCGAAAGCCTTGCCATTTTCCCACTGAAGTTGAAGAGCAAATGGTTGGCCCTGGTATAGTTTTTAAGAAGTAAAGTGCATGAGTTAATCATTGCTGGGTATAGAATATATATAAAAAAAGTTTCAGATCAGTTACTTTAAAATTTCTATTGTTCCGGACATAAAGCATAATTCATAAAAAAAGAAGGTAAAAGTTAAACTAGGTTGAAAACAATTCAGGTTTCATTGTATGTCTAGAAAAAAAAGAGGCTTTTTCTAGACTTTCTCAAACTATGACTTTTGTTTCAAGGATTATGAATAAGATCTCATGGCGCGGGTGAACAGGTTCGCGGGTGAACTACACCCCTGTTTTCACCCCCAAATGTACAGGGAACTTTGACAATTGTTATGAGCTCAATGCAAAGACTAGTTCAAAAGCTCCATGATCCTATGATAACAACTTACTATGCATGTGTCCGTTCGTCACCTACCTGGATTCGCAAGCCTATTGCCTCTGCAAGGTCACCAGAGAGACTGACAAAGCAGTTTTTCGACGAATTCGTTCTTACACAAGCAGATCTAATTCGATTCATTTCCACCGCAAACCTCTGGAACTTCACCTTTGAAGTATTTGGTCTTTTATATTTCTATATTCCCAAAGAGAACAGCTGATAGGAATGAGCCGCCATATTCAGCAGAATATTTAATATTGCGGGCTCACCCGAAAAACCACGAGGAAGGGAGGGAATGGAACGGGCTGGGGAAAAAGGAATGGGCCGAGCTCAGTTATTAAACCTTTACACCCTGGCATACTCCCTGACATTAGTATGCGTATTCTCCATACTGTTCTTTGTACATTTCCAAAGAGGCTGACAAGGAGAATTTGTTTCACAATCAAGAGCTGCTTTGGTTGGTGATCATCTCCTCTGTTCTCATGACTTTCATGTTTGATTCATGGGTGATATTGTAAGGAGAAATTAGTTGCTCGCCACTCTTAGGGGCTTAAGGGTTAAGGGAATTATCTTCAAATCAATGAGGACTTAAGAGGAAAAGGTGAAGTAAAAATGTTGACACATAAGGTAAACAAATCTAAGGCTGTAGTCTGGAAGAGCTTTGTCCCAACGAGCTGTTATTGCCAGATATTACAATTTTGCAGACTGTGTGAGGGGATATGCCCCTTTTGCAAACAGGAAATTTTAAATTTGAGGTAATGAGGAAGTACAGACTAATAAAATACCTCCCTCTGCATGTAAATAAGAGAGAAATACTCAAAGAGATGTATTTTTACAAGTTTATTTCAGGTTTTTTCAGGTCAAATCCAGTAAATCCAGTTTATGCGTTTTCACCCTCCTCTTCCTCTTCCTCATCAAATTCTCCTTCTTCTTCAGCTGTGGCATCCTGATATTGTTGGTACTCAGACACAAGATCATTCATGTTTGATTCAGCCTGTAAAAATGAACACTTAACAAATAAGTATTCTAAATAAATTACATGCTATTGTTATATACCTTGACTTTCACTCAACAAAACCAGCACTGTGATTGGTTGATTCTTGGTCACATGCCCCTGATCAAATTCAAATGTATCCAGACCAAGATACAATTGCGCAGTTGTTGCCCAAACGCCGAATACAACGGTGGTGACTCTCAGGAAAACAAAACTGATTCCCTTGGGATCATACATTACCTAATAGATATATTATACCACAGAGACAGAAAATTACATCAAGATAAGAAATACTCACTAGCAGGGGGAAATATCTGAAACAGGTGTGGGGGGACAGATAAAGATTATTTCCACAAGCTCTAAAATCTTAACTTACCTCAGTAAACTCCATCTCATCCATGCCCTCACCAGTGTACCAATGCAAGAAGGCCTTGCGCCTGAACATAGCCGTGAACTGCTCACTAATGCGCTTGAATAGTTCCTGAATGGCAGTGCTGTTTCCAATAAAGGTGGCAGACATCTTCAGTCCTCGAGGTGGAATATCACATACAGCAGTCTTGACATTGTTGGGAATCCATTCCACAAAGTATGAGCTGTTCTTGTTCTGCACATTCAACATCTGCTCATCAACCTCCTTCATGGACATGCGGCCACGGAACATTGCAGCCACAGTCAGGTATCTACCATGACGGGGATCACAGGCTGCCATCATGTTCTTGGCATCAAACATCTGCTGTGTCAGCTCTGGAACTGTCAATGCTCGGTACTGCTGGGAGCCTCGGCTGGTCAGAGGAGCGAAACCTGGCATGAAGAAGTGAAGACGGGGGAAGGGAACCATATTGACTGCTAGTTTTCGCAAATCAGCATTCAGCTGGAAGGAAATTACTTCAGTGGTTAAACAGTTATCCTTTACCTGTTGTTTATGAACAGTACATACACCAAATATCTATCTCTATAAGGTAATAATAAAGGTGTACATATCTTTGCTCATTATTTTACAAGGAATGGACATTAAGTAACTCAGTTCTGCTTCAACAAAGTGGCTGCAGATGTGTAATTTAAAAAGTGTTAAAGGACTTTTAGCCCCAACGCTAATATCATGGATCATATTTATTCAAGAATCTGAAGACAAGAAGTATAATGTAAGGCAGGTTTCACACAAGAGCAGTCTCACATGTATAGGAAAGGGCTGGCAATCACAGTTGAAAAACATTTCAGGTTTCTTATTTTCCCATCGAAACTGTCTGGAGAACTATAATTACTCAAATTACATCATTGCAAACTTTTGTTTATGGGCGTGACCGTAGCAAATTTATTCTTGTCCGAAATCAAAATTAACTGGTAGCTTATCTGAGGATAACAATTCTATATTTTTTTCATGATACTAAAACGAGTATATTTACCTGGCCGGGAAATCGAAGACATGTGGTCACACCACTCATTGTGGCTGACACAAGGTGGTTTAGGTCGCCATACGTCGGGGTGGTTAATTTCAGAGTTCTGAAGCAGATGTCATAGAGGGCTTCATTGTCGATGCAGTACGTTTCATCGGTGTTCTCAACAAGCTGATGAACCGAGAGAGTTGCGTTGTAGGGTTCCACGACGGTATCCGACACTTTAGGGGAAGGTACAACACTAAACGTGTTCATGATACGATCGGGATATTCCTCTCGGATCTTTGAGATGAGCAGCGTGCCCATCCCTGAGCCTGTACCACCGCCGAGGGAGTGAGTGAGTTGAAAGCCTTGCAAACAGTCGCAGCTTTCTGCTTCCTTTCGGACAACATCTAGAACGGAATCTACTAATTCGGCACCTTCAGTGTAATGTCCTTTCGCCCAATTGTTTCCAGCCCCGCTTTGTCCTGCATTAAATAACATTAAGAGTGCCTCATCTTAAGAGGGGAAATTTTAGCTCTTACGCTTATTAAATTATGAATTAAAAATGTATTTGCTTACATTTAAATCTGTTGGACCTACCAAAAACAAAGTTGTCAGGTCTAAAAATTTGTCCGAAAGGTCCGGAGCGTACTGAATCCATTGTTCCGGGCTCCAAATCGACCAGCACAGCTCGAGGTACATATTTCCCTCCTGAAAACGAAACACGACAAAGCGTCGAAAAACAGCACTAAACTTTCGGCACGAAACTTGCAAATACATCGTCGTCAAATTAATTTCTTCAGTTTTTTACCTGTTGCTTCGTTGTAGTAAACGTTGATTCTTTCCAACTGGAGGTCTGAATCACCATGATATGTGCCAGTTGGGTCGATTCCGTGTTCATCTGAAATAACTTCCCAAAACTGAAAAAGAAACAGTGCAATCATGAAATCAACAGCTGGGCAGCTACGTGACCGACTCTCGCGAAAAAAATTACCCTATAGCATTGTTATAAAACAACCTACCTTGGCCCCGATTTGGTTTCCGCACTGACCCGCCTGTAGATGAACGATTTCACGCATTTTGAAAGCTTTCACTTGTTAAACTCCTACGAGGAAATTAGCCACAACCCGACTGATGAAAAAATTAATCAAACCTAAGATCTCTCATCGACAACTGTTAACGTCACACACTCGCACACGTGACAAATAACGGTATCTGATTGGTCGATTGAAATTCGCAAGTCAACAGGTTCTTAGTAAACAATTAGCAGCCACTTATCTTAAAACATGGCGGGTAAATTGTGTCAAAATTATTTGTACCAAATTGAATGGCTCACTATTGAATAGCTCACTTGATTGCTGCGTGTGCGTGTGTGTGTGTGAGAAATTTTCCTCTAGCTTCAGTAACCTTAGCAATGTTATCATAAATTTACAACGAGCTAGGAAAAGTATCTTGGCAACGATCTTAACAAGATTAACAATCTTTAGGAAATGAAAAATAGGAAAAAAAAAGTGAGCCATTCAATAGTAAGCCATTCAGTTTGGCGAGCCATTCAATTTTTTGAGCTATTTAATTTGGAGGGCCATTCAATTTGGTGAGCCATTCAATTTTTTGAGCTATTCAATTTGGAGGGCCATTCAATCTTGAGCCATTCAATTTGGTACTACCAATTTTGACACGATCCAGCCGCCATTTAGCAACCACTTAGAATTAATCAGATAATCACAGGGGGTTGAGAGAAACTCCTCAAATCACGAAATTCACATTGGACAGCAGCACCGAGTCTGGCTAGTGGTTCAATATCTCACGACACTTCTGCTCCAACGGATGACGTAATAATCACTTGTTTCGGTCTGGCGAGTAGCAACCAAAACACGCATCAAAAAGGAGTTAATACCTGTAACAGAATTGTCACGCCGCTTCATCATCCACATATAAACATCGTTTAGCGAAACTTATCTAGCACAAACTTGAGGAACTCGATTTGAAGCGAATCAAATTTTTACTAAAATTAGAACTACTGTATCACCCTAAAAACCAACACTCCGCGCAATCGGACAAAGGAAATTTTCGTATATTTTTAACTCATTACTCGCTACTTATGTCATACTTTTGCTACCCTGCTCCAGGCAATCAGTTGGTCGAAGAGGGGAAAAGCGGGGCGAACGAGCAAGAATACGCAGCAAGGGAGAGGCCCGACTCTCTCCCTTCCTCCTCCCCAGATTCCCCCGCCAATTTTCGCTCGCTCGATTTTTCTCTCGTTCTCGATGACCGAAAGTACGCTGTAATTTTTTCTCCATGGTTTTTGTTTTAAACAGACATGCGGGAGTAAAAGGAGGATAGCTTCTGCCCAACTACAACTGTGTCATCTCGCAAAAAAGTGAAGAAGCGGCTTAAGCGAAATTTCATCGCAATCACGAAGTTTGGTTAGAAAATGAAAAATGTTTAGATTGTATATGAAATTGCAAAAGCTGCAAACTGGAGTGATTAACAGAGGATATGTTTTCACCATTTCGCTGTATTCATTAGAAGGAACTCGCTACCAAAGAAAACTTTCTGGGGTAGAATTTCCCTTTAGCAGTTTCCTAAGCGAGTGCCGTAAGTTCTTCCTTCAGAGGAAGGACACCAACACTTATAAGGGACTAATAATTAAAAAAATTTTTTTTTATGAGCTTATTTTAGCCCTCGAAGCTTCATTACCAAGAAGCAAATTTGTCGTGACATTAGAACTCGTGTCCAACAGTCAAGAATTAATTATGAAATGAGACAAGTATGCTGCAAATATATATTTACTAACGTCGAGATTTAGTAGGCATAGGAAAAATTTCGAAGGTAATGGTTAAAAGTACATATGTACACAATGATAACAGTCCAGAAGTTGCCACCATTACTCGCTTCCCGCAATGCGATTGGTCAAATTTGTTTAAGCGGCCCTGGTAACAGTAATGGCCCCTAAAACATGCACATCTTCTTCATCTTTAGTTCTTGAAGTTTCAGTGAATGACAGTCAGTCGGAATACACCGAGACTTTCCGCACTTTGCTGTACTTCAACAAAAAGGTACCAGCAAACTCTTGCTTTGCCGAGTGAGTCAGCAATGAAGCAACGTCCAGGTGAATGAATGCACGATGAATATCAAGTTTACTTGACGCTGGTGTAACGCACGTTCTGACTGACTACAGGAAGCTAGTCAAGGCTGGGAATGGATTCTGTTTGCTGACCACCAATTTCTGGTGTTGGTGAGATATGTAGCCTTTGATATAACCCTGAAGAACAAATGAGCGAACAAACCACATGAACACGAGTAAAAAGATGCGAATGGACTAATATCGTACCTAGATCCTACCATGTAACTGCCGGGCCGCGAGAGGTCTGGATAAGAAACTGGGAATGGACTATTGAAATCTGTTTTTCTGTAGCTACGAACGGTCTTTCGAGCGTAAAGGGAGCACAAACGCAGTGCACACGTTTGAATGGGAAGGTAGTATCGTATTCTTGTCCCAATCTACTTCGCCATAAAGTTCCATCGATATCGCGTAGACAAAAACACACAACAAGCAGGGTGACTGTGGTAATACGTAAAAACATATAGCGAAAATCCTCTACTTACTCGGCAAAACAATATCAGACATTAATAGAAGGTAAAAGGCAACATCTACATAAGAGAACGGCAGTTTCTATGTTTCTAATCTCTGTCTCCGTAGCGTGAAGTAACTGGGAATACAAGTATATGGTATCGCTACCCAAAAATTTGGTCAGGTCTTCTAGAAAATTTGCCTCTTTGGTGAGAAACACCGTGTTTCGCCAAAGAACATCATACAATAACCCTGGTTGAAGTTCGACCCAGATCCTTTGATCCCAAGACCATCGCGCTGACTACCAGGCCATCGCAGTTTCCTTAGACACAATACTGGCATTGTGTGCGGGCCTTTATTTATTAAATTTCTATTAAGAAAATGGCGCGAGAGACAAAGTACTGCTACTGACGAATAAAGTAGACATCAGCAGTGTAGAAGTCTTATTTCACGCGCGCAGATCGTTTTTTCTTCATTCAACTGACTTACCATGTATATCAGGTTTGCTACGATGCATTCAACCTCGGTAACGTCTATGTCTTCAACCTTAATACAGAAAAAAGAAAAAAAAGTAACTTAATTAGAAGCGAGTGAAAAGGGAGAAAGACAAGGAGGCCATATGAGGACAGGACAGGCACTGAGGCTAGCGTTGAGCAATGATAGGGGTCACTCGACCTATGAATAACTCTCTAATGCGCGAGGCGACACGCCGTTTAAGCCGGAAACAAAAAACCAGGCCTGTTGAAGGGCCAGTGGCACTACTGCTATTCGCAAGCGCTTTTATATCTTTTGCCTTCAAATTTTAGCTCTTACGAAGCTATTATTTAATTACTTTCCTATACGACGTTTTTTTTTTTCACTTAAGGCAATATTTTCTTCTGTGTTATTTCTTTCTTAAAAAGTACATTTTCTCTCCCGCAGAAAATAGCTTTAAAGATACGTTTTTCAATCATCTAGGTATCCTCTATTCGTTAAGAGTATTTTGAAATTCTGCACGTCTTTTTTTAAACATGGAGCGTGACACATTCGTTCTGGAGGAAGCGCTTCTCCTTCACGAATCCTGAATTTACGCCAGGTCAGATGGATGACACGAAAAAAAGGTTAGTGTATTAAAAGGTTTCTGTCTCTTTCTAATGCGCTTGCATATCAAGGGTCGATTCCTTGTTCAAAAACTCACGTCTAGCAATGTAATTTCGGAATTTTGTGTCATTGACAAAGCCAACGGATGTGAGTGTAACTGCTGCCATCAGTGAGACTGCAGTTCCGATTTTTCCTGAATCTCGTTAGTTGTCTCCTAAGAACGAATTCTTCACGGTGGAATAACAGGAGTCGCGCTGGCCCGTCAACGCTTTCTAACTTTCGAAGGAACGGCAACAGATAGTGAATTCCCATCACATTCCACGTATGTTGTCTACATTCACGCTATTCTCACTGCCACCAAAGATGTTCACTCGACCGCGACAGGATGCATGATGTAACGCAATCAGAGTGCGTACATCGCCTGATCAATAGCAGCTGAGTGCATTTACAGTAGCCGTGTTTAACAATGGGTTCGGCAGGATCACGCCGCAGTACCACTGTGGCGGCAACTGATGCCCAGGAGCAGCAACAGCCGCAGGTAGAAGAGCCAGATGAGGACGGAAGCCCCCGAATTGTCTTCATTACTGGTTGCTCAACTGGCATCGGCCTGGCAACAGCAGTTGTTCTTGCAAGCGACGCAGACAAGCGATTTAAGGTTTATGCCACAATGAGAAATCTCGGAAAGAAAGCAGCTTTGGAAGAAGCCGCTGGGAAAACTCTCGGCGAATCACTATTTATAAAAGAATTGGACGTATGCAGTGAAGAAGCCGTTAACAGTTTGGTAAAAGAGATTGAGAGTGAAGAGGGAAGAATCGATGTGCTCGGTGAGTGCGTAATAAAATAAGTAGTTCGTTTTACCAAACCCAAAAAGAAACAATTACTTCGATAGTGTCGAATCTTTTATGAAATTAATCACTTCTTTTATCCTTAACACTTCTTTATATTGATAATCGCAGGTTGGGCCCCCTTCAAATTAGTTACGCTGCGTTCTCGATCGATGAACGTTTTCTATATATAGTCTATATAAGACGGCTTACTTGATAAATGAGTCACCCTGGTTTTAAAACGAGCAATAAAAAAAGGCCGCAACACAAAGTTACCTCATAAAGCAAAGTAGAAAACTTGAAAAAAACGTTTACATAACTTCTTGCTGCTTTGTTTAGATTGGGGACAGAGGAATGCATATTGCACAGATATTGAGCTTGTGTTTATCACGAGCATTTGTGTTTATCAGGAACATTTTGGCGACTAACAGACGCTGCACTTCATAGTTTTCAAAGATTTGCAATCAAATATTGTGTTTAAACTTCGTTCTGCTTAGAACTTTCAGCGCCATAAATGAAATAAGTTACTATAGGCGATAACTCGTTAGAGACCATAGACACAGTGGGTAAATATTACCAAGGTCAGTGAACCTTTGTTTTGGCATTACTCAAAATGGACTTCATTTACTCTTCTTCAGTTACTAAACTCTTAAAATTTTTAGAGCCTGGCTCTTAAATGCTTGGTGAATTCAACCATTATGTTAACGACAAAGTCAAACGAAAAAAAAGGACAGTAAGTTTGTACACTGTTCCATATCAAATCTGCAAGAAAAGAGGCTATAAATACTTCTCTGCTCTGCGTTGAACTCAAATAATTTCACTTATGTAGACAAACGACTGATTGCAGCCGGTACAAAGTTCAACAATAACGTTACACAGCGCGAATAACCGACTAATACAATCGTTTACTTTCGTGCGGCCAAGTCTAGCACTCCCACCGAAGGGAGGAACGAAAGATCGTGCATTAGAGTACAAGTTTTCTCTGTCTTCTCGTATCAAGCTTTCATGTTTATCTTCTAATCTGTTTTGAAATTTGTCCACCACACTTAGTGAACAACGCAGGACAAGGCCTGGTGAGTGTATTTGAATGCATACCAATTGACAAAGCGCAAAACCTGTTCGATGCAAACTTCTTTGGGGTCATGCGAGTTCTCAAAGCTGCTTTACCGGGCATGAAAGCAAGAAAGAAGGGTCGCATTATCAATGTGAGCAGTATCATCGGAGTGAACGGACACCCATTCAGTGAAATATACAGCGCTTCTAAATTCGCCTTGGAAGGTCTGACGGAGAGCCTGGCTCCAACACTGAGGAAATTCAACATCAGGTAAACACATCAGTCGACTGGTAACAAGTTGAGGTTAATGTTGGGTTAGGGAAAGGGAGGGGAGGGTAGGTGCTCATTTGTTCGGATACTGACAACCATTCCACCACTACCCTTTCACAACCCATTACGTTCAAGAATTCTTCATGGCCATGATCGTGATTTTAATCGCATTTTAGGTGTTCTCTGGTTGAGCCTGGACCAGTGACAACCTCATTCAACAACAATGCCAAGTCACTGAGAGAGGGAATCGACTCATCCACAGCGGACGACAAGACCCAGGCCTTGTTACAGGAGGCTTTAAAAGAAATGTACCGTACTGTCACTGAGCACAGCCAGACAGCCGAGGAAGTGGCCGACATTATCAAAAACGTGATACTCAGTAGAGCGCCTCATTTGCGATACCAAACAAATTCTCAGTACGCACCGGGAGAGGTACAAGCCAAGTTTTCTGATGCGACAGGAGACAAAGCTATCGATCTCATGGAAAAAAGATTTTACCCGGAGACAAAGTAGTAGAGTTTTAAGACCAAAGAGTTCGCAACCGAACCCGACTGCATTTCGCAGTCCAAGGGATTCGGAGATAATAATCACTTTTTTATTTCATTATTTTTATATCTAACATGGTCATATTTCTTTTTATAAAATATATATCTAAATAGAAGTAGTGATAGACATATTCCGTCAAACCAGCAAAGGAAAACGTCAACATTTTAGAAAAGGCCTTAAGATGTCTGAATCGAAACAATCATAAAATGGTATGTTTATTATATTATTCAGTCCAATTATTCCTTACCTGCATAGCTCTGAGAGCCACAACAAACGCATCCAAAGATAACTGGTGAGTTTTCAGCAGAAGAGCCCTGAGAATACATATAAACACAATCATCTCAGTCGGTTTACAGGATCTATAACGAAATTCTCTCTTCTGGCAGCCATATATTTCCTTAACACGATTACTGAGAATTTGGTGTTATCATGTCCGTGTAAAACCCCTCAGTTAACCCTTTACTTCCCAACATCAGTATGTACATTCTCCACACAGTTCTCTATACATTTCCTAAGGTGCAGACAAGGGGAATTTGTTTAACAATCAAGAGCTTGTTTAGTTGGTGATCATTTCTGTTTTTCTCATGACTTTAATGTGTGATTCAAGAGTGATATTGTAAGGAGAAATTAGATGCTAGTTACTCTAACGGATCAAAGGGTTGATAAGTTTGTTCATTCTAGTCACCTGTGTACTAACGTATCTAAATTGTAAAGAGAAGTTACCCTATATATCCAAGTAATATCCAACAGAGCGTCGAAAGTCATCCGGGATTAAAGAGTAAGAGAGATGGTATGTTTTGAGCTCGGTAAAGAAATAGAGAAAGATGTTTTTTTCGTCTTGTCCGAGCAGTATGTAGGACGTGTGTCATATGAACTTCGTAATAGACCTCGGTCATCCGTAGAGTCTCTGTGGTTCAGTGGGTAGAGCAACGGAGCACGGAATCCGAAGGTCTGAGGTTCCATTCCTCATAGGACTCAGAATTTTTTCTTTGTCCCACGCTCGTAACAAGACGAAAAAACACCTTTCTCTAATCTAGGATTGAAGACGAGTTTATCTCGAGTGCTATTTCACTCCAAAACGAAACCATTAAGACACAAAAGTTCGATGAAAGTTTTTAAGACCTCAACATTTTCTTGAAAGTCAGTTTAGAAAAACAGAAGAGTATGACAGTTTCCTTTAATTTGTATCTGCAAAAGACACTTCGATAGATAAAAATATTTATTCAAGACTTCTAAAACTTACACTTTCTTGAATAAGTTCCTATATGTTATAATCTTTAGCTTCTCCAGAATAAGGTAAACACCACACTGGATGAAAAATCCCTGAAAATTGAAAAAAGGCAATTTATATTTGATATAATAAGAGAGGAGTGGAAAACGCACTGCCCAGTGGTCAGAGCACTAGACTCAGGGTCGAGAGGTCTAGGTTCGAGACCGGTGCCGGCTCAATGTGTTGTGTTCTTAGGCTGAACACTTTACCCCCCCAATGCTTCTCTTCACTCAGGAGTATAAATGGGTACCTGCGAATTGTCACGGAAACCTGATGAAATGCTGGGGGATAACCTTGCAATGGACTATCATCGCATTCAGGGGGGAGTGGTAATACTTCTTGTCGCTTCGCTACATGGAAACCAGGATAAGCTACAGCTGGGTGGGCCAATAGGTTGAGTACAGACTTTACTTTTAGTAAAATATGAGGAAAGTAGAAAAATGAATACATGTACATGCTACAGCCAACTCTATAAACATTACAGTTGGCTCCTAATGATCAGAACCTTTCAGAATACGATCGTTTTCTTTTTTCTCGTCAGGTGTCTGTTTAAAAGCGTAAGGTTATTGTAAGGAGAAGTTAGTTATCAATATGAATTAGGCAAAATACCTGTTCTCTCTCTAGAGTCTCGTTTAAAAGTGCAAGATTTCCCATCCTGAAAATGACAACAACTCCAAGATAAATTTGTTTAAATGAATGCAAAAAAAACAAATCAAATCAATTTTAGCAAGCCTTATGTCTTATAAGCTGCTGAGTGTGTCTCCATACCTGACAGATTTAACCACATCAACAAACTGGTTTAGGTTGTACTTAAAAAGCAAGTCCTCTTTTGGTATGTAGCCCTAATGTTAAAAAAAAACAAAAAAAAAAACAGCAGTTAAGAAACATATATTCAATGTGAGGATATTTCGTTACTTAGGGCCAGTTATTTACACGAAGTCTAACCAAACCTCGATTTCATGCAATCAGTGGGCCTCAGGCTTTCTCTATACGAAGTTCGGAATAATTAAAAAAAAAAAAGTCCCTCCACTGTTAGCTTTTGGCCTTCTTAACGCTACTCACAAGAACAGATGTTTAGATAAAGGTTCAGCTTAATTGAGAATCGTAACACGCGGTTTTGTTCAACAACGGCTACCTTTGTGTAAATAATCAGACCTTAGTGTCTAGATTTTATTCAGTTCACAAGGTATAACTCACCAGAAGCATTTTCACTGGTATGAGATAAATTAGGATTGCCCTAGATAGGTGACAAAAAACAACCATGAATAATGCATGAAATGTGTTTCAATCTTAACAAATACCACTGCGAGAAGTATATTGCAAATTTTACAAAAAGTGTGATTAGAAGCCAAGTAAGATACAGTTCCCTTTTAAATTAGTCACGAGAACTTGGTGTTCCTTCAAAATAGACACCCTCTCACTGGTAGGTGTTTTCATTCTCGTCAACTTTTTACTGCATACCGAAGTTACTCAAATAAGCGTCGCGGCGCTTTAACTCCCAAGATCTCAATAGAAATTCTCCTTACTGTCTGCCTTACAATTATTATGATGTCAATTTGGAGAGTTTATTTTTATATAAACTAATAATCGCCTACTCAATGTTTTTTTTTTTATTCTCATCACTTGTATGCTTGATATTGTATTGATACTGTAAGGAGAAATTCTCTCTAGGTCACTCATGGGAGGTAAAGGGTTAATTCTTTTCACGCGTCAAATGTGGCGCGTATTCAAGGGCGTGCTTATTCGGCACAAATTGGATGCGATGAAGAAATGTCCTCTCTGAATCCAACGGTATACTAGCTATTTCAAAATCTGTATGAAAATTTTACAGCAACAACAGAGGCGTCTTTTGATCGTCACCATCTGTATCTTCTGGATTTTTCGCTTGCATTACCAGCTGTGCCTTCACTCAACTTCCATGTCGCAAAAGACCTGCTAATTCGGGGGTGACGCATTGCAACTTTCTGTCCCAAATGCGGCCTATTCAGGGCGGCACTTAATTGAGTAAATACGATAATCTACAGACATCTTACAGAAAACGAACAAGAGAATCAGTTCTGAGAGATAGAAGGTTACTAATTGACACTCTGATGAAGGGCTAACGCTCGAAAAGTCAGCCTTTAAACTCTTTATGGTGGCCAATTTACGTTATCAACTTAGTTGATAACACTAGATTACCATGTTGTACTCTCCCATCGACGCAGCACCACAGTTTCTTTAGAAACTTACCGCCTTTGCTAATTGACGTACCTTCCCTTTAGTAACAAGGTATAATTTTTAAAACTCGTGCTTTTGTTATTAAATTATAAAATTTTTCTCTTTTAAGTTTGCAACAAAAAATATGTAATCATGTTATTGGAATGTTGTTGTTTGAAGTTCCAAATACCTACACAGCAGATCAGTACCAGATGAAGATTACCTTTTGTTCTTACTGGAGGATATACAGCAGCGTTCAAATGCAAATGATAGATATTCATCAGCTGAAACATCAAGAACAGAAAAAACAGCTTTGATTAATACACTCAACATAATTGCTGATCAATTTTACATTCCTGATAGTTAACATATGAACTTTTAATTTCGCTCTGCGTCACGAATGTTTTCGTATTTCTTATCATTAATCTTTTACTAATGCGTACTCGTTGTGCGAAAAAAAGTTCATGGCGCAGTCCACAGTCACAGTAAACTGTGTAGTGTAGTCCTCTTGAAATAAAAATTCCAAGGTTTCAGCTGAGAGTAAATAAATATAAAAAGACACAAATGTCGTTAACCCTTTAACTCCCAAGATCTGATTGTTAATTCTCCCCTCTAGCTGCTACACATTTCCTTGTAAATTAGTTATGACAACTTAGCGCCAGATCAAGATAGCAGCTTTTACCTGATAAGTTTGAACATTCTCATTACCTGTTTGCTGAATTTGTATGGATATTATAGGGAGAAGTTTCATGTTAATCACTTCTGGGAGTTAAAGGGTTAAGCTGTTCAATATAGCATACCTACCAGCTTTAAAATCACTGTCAAACATAGCTTTTCTTCCTACAAAGTATCTGACGAAAATCAGAAGAGAAGAAAAACGCACGATTACTTTACTTGAAGTAGCTGGGTAGACACAACACTTCTACTAATTTCAGAGTTTTTGTTTTGGAAGGGAAAGGGAGCTGGGTTTCCTTTTAAGAGAGAGGGGGAGAGACTTATTAGTCAAGAACACTGCTAGTAAATTTACCTTTGTCTATGCAACATGCATATAACCATCTCCATACCTGTATGTAACCAGATGAGCCAGTTTAAACTGGTCTTTTATGGGTGCACTGTCTATTGCTCTGATAAGAGGCTTGCACAAGTGAAGTTTATTGATCTGGAGGGCAAGTAAAAACAAATGGAAACAGAGAATGTCTGTTCTTTATTTCATCATAATGAAGAAAGAACCTTTTATATGGATGCTTGGTGAGCCCTTTTTTTTCTAATTGTCCCTTCCTGTAAGTGAGAAAATAAACTTGCACTGTGTAATCAAGTTAAAATTCAAAGTGTGTCAAGAGAAAACTGAGTTTGCATGTGCTATAAACATCTCAGTTGTTTCTAGGAGAGATCAAAACTTGTGCCACCATCTAGTGTCACATTTGACATATTACATAAAAAATGCACTTGTATCCAGCCACTCAGAAGTGCATAAATTTCTCCTTTATATTATTTTAAAACTGCTGTACAGATTATCACAGAACTGAAATATCAAATAAACTCATTGAAGTAGTACCTTGAAATAGATCTTGAATAAATGATTTACAAGTGCAAGCATGCCCCACTTCTTTGATACCTCAAGTGATGAACGACTACAGAGTAAAATGATAAATATCCACTCATTTAAGTATGACAAACAAAAAAGCATAGAGCCATTTAAATGCATCAGAGTTTTTTATTTATGTTGAGATTGGTGCAACTTTCTTGACCATTCAGAGAGTATTATGAAGCAAAACCACCAAGACTACACTCAAATGAAAATAATATTGCTCTTACATGTCCCATCAAATGGTTGGCAGGCAACAATGAGGTAAATACATATATCTTATTAAACGTTTTGGTGTATAGTATCACTGAATATTTTTAGGAGTTGTGCTGTATTTTAACCAGCCTGTAGGGTGAGTCAAAATACAAACAACGAGTAAAAATACCCAGTAATACTACATACCAAAAGGTCTAATAAGTTATTTATTATCCAATCCCTTTTTTTTCTGCTGAATCTTTCTGTTCATTTCTCGTAAGATGGGAAAAGCAAAGCAGATAGAGAAGCATAGTGCACGCAGCCAACTAGTTAAACAGATTTTTTGATACTAAAAAACTGCCTAAATAACCATACAATATTGCAGGATATCAGTACTCTATTTGTGTGTTATTTGTACTTTACTTTGTGCAGTTGAATAATAAATGACTAACAGTATGGCAATATTGCAGATAAGCCATATAGTTCCCTGAACAAAACAACTGTGAGGGCTGGCAAGCTCAATGAACTGACCTATCACTTGCACAGACCCTGAAACACCCCATCATTACTTCTGCCGCCTTCTCCAACATTTCTCCAGGTTTGCCCAGTCCCTTTCTTACTTGCTGCTTGTCTGCCTGTCAAAATCACCAATTATAATTCCAATATTATTAATTAATTTTAAAATGACAAAACATGATAACTCTTGAAAGGCATGTTCTGGCATCACTTATGCCACCAAGCCCCATAAAATTACTTTACTCATTTATTACTTTATGCAAGCTGAAAACATGGGCCTAGTTATTGTTTAAAGTGGTATATGGCTAATTAACATCACTGACAATGAAACAGTTCTGAAAAAGTTGTTTCAAGTTTTTGATTTTAGGGTTAAATTACTTTATTACCGATAAAATTTTAAATACAATCAAATTCTGACATCACAGAATTCTTTTTGGATAAAGTGACATATTCTTTGGAACTAAATATGTAATTAAGAATTGAAGTGAAAATAATTATTATTCTTAGTAAGCACAACATATTTTAAACAGTAGTACCTGCATGGCAAAAAGTCTCAGATCTAGTGTGACAACATTCATTAATGGCAATGCCCTGGTGAATAAAAAAGGTTAATATCACCAAGGTTAATATTTCCAGAGACAGAATAAAGATTACAAGCCCTTGTCAAATGAGGTGGCATTGGTAAAAGCAAAACATAGCATCCATAATTATTCAGGCATTTCTCTGCTCTGAAGTATACCTGGATACCAGCAAGCAGACAGATTAGGGGAACTTGATGAAATCCTCAAGGCTTTACCCATTCACCTCCAAGATCTCATTGGTAATTCTCCTTACTGTCTGCCATACAATTCTTATGATGTTGGTTTAGAGAATTTGATATTGGATCAAAAAATAATCCTGTAATTGACAATTTCTTTATTCTCATCACTTGTCTACTTGATATTGTATTGATATGGTAAGGAGAAATTCTGTCTTGGTCACCTTTTAGAACCAGGATAAACTAAACAGTTACAAGTCTTTAAGCACACAAGAGTTACCTTCTGTATTCAACTCTGAAAGATCAAGCTTGCAGAAAACTTTAGGATAACTGCTGCTTTTCCTTTCTACTACACTGCTTCGTAATCATCTGATGTTATTACAGTGTGTAGAAAATGTTCTTACATGGAAAAAGACCTAGCTATGTCACATTTCCACTTTCAATTAATAACAAGGATGTTCAGAATTTCTATCCGGTGGCTGGTTAGGCATTAAATCTGACCTGAATCATTTCTAATGGTAAATTAATTTGCAGGATTACTTGTTAATAAACATACCAGTTTTCATCTTTTTGACTTTGAAAAGCACGGGTGAAAGACTTACTATTTGTTAAGGTAAAAGATGATTGGATAATATACAAACAGTTAACAAGTACAAAACAAAGGTAACAACAAGCATACACTGAGATTTTTCCAACAAAAACATTTTAGGTGCTGCTATGACTTAAGGTTCTTTCCCCACTACTTTTCTTGTACTGGGTTAACAAGGCAATATGTTTGTTTGATTGATTTTTACAGTACCAATGGTAAGGAATCAGTAACCTAACTGCTGATTAAAGGATTATCATAAACTAACACTAGGCCAGTTTTGCATAAATCATTAAGTCATTAAAAAATAATACAAACTTGCACATAAAAAAATGAATACTTAGAAAATTAAAACATTAACATTCCTATCAATAACGATTTGGTAAAAATTTTGATGGTAAAAATTAATAGTAAAATACAACATTTTGACTAAACTTTGGTCATTTTCAAGTGAGTGGCAAGAATGTTAGAATAAATATATACAAGCATGTAAGAAGTGTAAAAAATTTTTAAAAGTGTAAACGGACAATAAGAACATACAGGGAGAAGAAATAATTACCTGCCTATTATTAAAACAAATTATTTTTGGACTACTGCAATTTGAAAAATTGTGAGGGAAAAAAGATTGCGTGTCACAGCATATTAAGAGCTGTTCCCTCCAAAACTTGCAAAACCATCTAAGAAGAATTTTTCATATTATAGGTTTTCAAAAAAGATATTGGACAACAACTGCTTGAGAAGATCGTGCTTCAACATAATCACCATTGGCCACAGCCCAAATAGCTCTGCAAAAAAAACAATATAAATAGAAGAGTATCTTGTTTAGTTTCCTCCCTCATAAAACCAAAAGCCCATAACTCCCATTTATCAAGATGAATTTGAAAGGCATAGTTTACCTGAGATGATATGCTACCATTTCATCATATGGTGGTTCAAACCATCTTTCACATTGCAGCTGTGCATCTGGTAACTGACAAAAATACAAACCAACTAAACCTGACATAATGAAATGGTAAGTTGTTTAACCCTTTCACTCCCAAGATCTGATTAATAATTCTCCTTACTATCTGCCATACAATTCTTATGATGTTAGTTCAGAGAATTTGGTATTGGATCAACTAATAATCCCATGATTGATATTCTTCTCTATTCTCATCACCTGCCTGTGTGATATTGTATTGATATTGTAAGGAGAAATTCTGTCTTGGTCACTTGTGGGAGTGAAAGGGTTAAAAAAATGTATATACCGGTATATTTATATTTTTTTGATTTTATGTCCCTCAAAAACTAGTTCCTTTTATAATTTACAATAAAACAACTGAACACTGATGCAATCTCAAAAGCACCAGCACGAGCAAGGAATTTCATCTCTCTTCATGAGTTAGGCATACACTAATTTGGAAGGCCTGATTGGAAATATTTCACTTAAAGACATGACATATGCACCTTATTGTGCTCAGTTTACACATCATGACAGAGGGCAAAATATCTTCCTATCCCACCTGACAACCCATATCTCAGTCAGTAGGCATTTTATCATATGTCTGTCCTTCTCTCTCTTTCTTCCTATCTTCCTGCTTTTTTCCATTCTGTTTATCTTGCACAAACCTTGTTCCAGCCCTATTAACCCCATTGCACAAAGCCCTCCCACAGGGATTTTTTCATAATGTTTTTCAATAAAAGTGCACTCAGGGCTGTCTGCATAATGTGATAATTAAAAAGTGTTGACCATAGTGGAGGTGGCTAAAGGTGGATATTTACCCAGCCAAGAAGGAGCAAGGGAAATATCTTACCCAAGCCACCAATACTGAAGTGAAGAATTATTTTAGTATACACTAAAACAGTGAGATAATATAGCACAAAAAGATCATTTTCACTCATTCATTCCTGCAGCAAATACAAAAATTTCAACTCAAATCCCACATGCATTGATTGAAGGTGAAAGGCAAAGGATATTTGGAGTTTGAGCACCAATCATATCATGCCCTCAAGACTATCCATTATTCTATTATATACTTATACAAATTATCCCCAAAGTAAGGAATCTGTAATGGTTTTACCTGGAGTCTTGGACTTGCTATGTGTGGATGACAAAAGGAAAATAGTTCCTACAAGCACATAAATATTTGATAATGTTTAAATATTATTATACATCATAATGAGCATAGGCAAAATATTCACTAGTATAATTAATTGCAAGAGTCAGTAAAAAGGAAAAGTTGCTTCCTATTCCTTTGATATCTTATGCTCAATTTTTATTTGCTTTAAACAAAAGGCAACAACTGCGCAACTGTATCCCGGTCTGCGAAAATTTTAATTTTAAATTGGAAAAACCTTCCATTAATCTTACGATAGTGTGCAAACAATCTTACCGCTAGAATGTCGCTACTTTTGGAAACAAGTCCCTTTTTCACCTATTGGGAAAGTTCAAGCATGAAAGTAAGTGCAGCTCTCGGTTGTTTTCCTTCTTTTTTTCTTCTTTCTTTTAATATAAAACTATCAACGAAATCGCTTCCTAACCTGATCTAGATACTTTTCGAGACTCGTATGCGCCATCTTGGAATTCTCGTCCTCTAACGCATGCGCTTCTTAATTTCCGCTGATTTTACCCTTTGGCGGGAAGTCTGCGCCGTCAAAAAGAGCGCCTGCGAGGAAAAAAGGCAGCAAGAAAAGTAATAGGCCCTGGGGCCCCTGGAGTGCCTATCTTAAAGTCAGACTTTTTTTGGGGGAAAAAATTACTCTATGTCAGCGTATAGAGTGGTATGTTGCTCGCATCAATCAGATCGCTGCATTAGGGTATGTATCTTACACAAACCAGATCGCCTCAGATCGCCTATGTATGTATAACCGATCAAATCACAGCCCTGAGGCCCCTGGAGTGCCTGTTTTTGAGTTATCATTATTTTTTTAATATTTCAATAGCTTTATGTAAGCACATAGAGTGGTATGTTACTCGCACCATAGGAGTATGTTTCCACCAATCAGAGCGTAAGGGTGTTGTCTTTCATGTCAATCATGACGTGGTATTTGGCTGCCGCAAAGTAAATGTTGCAAAGTAATCAACCCAACATTAACACACACTAAGAATGGTACTGACAAAAAACTTTGATCCCATCTACCCAGTTAAATGGATCATGTCCTTCGTGAAGACCTCGTCGCTAAGATCTGTCGAAATTAGAAAGATCTGCAGGGAATGTTTTATCATTTAGAAGTTGACGCGTGTTTTGTGTACCGTTCCTTCATGTACTTACAACGCACACACCGACACCAAAAGGCCTAACACGAAATCATCACTGCAGTGCTTGTTTTGGAAAGGAAAATTTTGCTGACTCTGCTGAAAATCGCGCAAAGCATTTACACAAAGCATATTTGAAGAGTAATCTTGTTTTTACCATATGGTTAGTTTTTTGCGAAGATTGAAAAGATCGACCAGCATTATTTACGTTCTGCGTCGACTGCCATGTTGCATATCTGTTTCTTTGCTTTAAATATTCTCCACGAGTTACATCTTGTGTTTAAACGGTATATTCTCGATTCAATTACGTGTTTGGTTGTCACACTGACTGCTTAGGCTTTCTCCGATGAAAAGACATTTGCCAGTGAACAACTTAAATTCACGACACATTGTGCAGTGCAACGGTATTGCAAAGGTCACGGGTTCAAATCCCGTGTAAACCTGAATTTTTTTCTTCAGGCCTTATTTTTGCTACTTCTTGAGTGGTGTTCATCATTGTAAAGATCGGTTTCAGATTTATTCCTTAATCCGCACTTCCCATATACGATTTTGACATATTCATAGTAATGGCATTACTTTGTTGTCTTCGTAAGAAGTGCTCGGTCGAAATTCTAGCCAGTCCTTGAAATAATGAATATTTCTGTGATGCGTTTGATAACTGTTGACTTTCATGGTCAACATCACAGACTCTATCTTACACTCTGGTCACGGGAAAAAGCGGTTGAAAATTGCAATTTTTGCTCTCCTTTCCTTAAAAACGCTGCTTTGGTACAAATAAAAATCCAAATTATTCAATACTAAACACATCCATAGGGTGAGATCACATCCATTTCGCCTAAAAAAAGCTCTTTCTTCATAAAAAATAAAAATGCCAACCTTTTGCAGCAAACTTCTTTTATTTCACTCATCTCTAATGACTTAAAGTGCTGAGCTAAATTGACAAAATCTTATTTTGCTAACTTTTCCTTAATCAAAAGATAACAATAAGGCCAAAAACTAAAAAAACAAATGAACAAAACAAAACACGAAAAGAAAAGAAAGAAGCTGGTACGAAATGCAAGCGAAGAGCCAGGTCAGATTGGTCATCTCACATCGTGCGGAGGCTCTCCATTCGGTCGTTGGGGAAACTCATGTCGTCTGGACTTGCATACCATTTGCCTGGCTCCAGTTGCTGTTGCAAGCCCTGATACTTGGTTTTGGTGAAGGCTTCAAACTTCATGTTCTTGGATAACACGATGGCAGAGGAGACTCCTCCAACTTTCCCGATTGGGAAAAAGGGGTTCAGATCTGGGCAACTTTCTTTAAACCACTGCACGAAATTGTGGAAAGAATAGAACCCAGATGAAGGAGAAACATCTTTCAAAATAAATAATTTTGTACTAGCATCTAACCTCTAAGACACTAAGCAAAAGAATAAGCTCGTTTACACTCTTACAACTATCGGATCGCTTTTCAATATCTCTTGTGCCCGTCACTTAGATCAAGTATCTGCATGATGTATAGATGATCTGTTTGTGATTCCTTATGAATATGAATCCATGTGGAAACAAGCTATGTTATTTGCCTCCGTCTAAGTGACTTTGAAGATTATCTATCGGAAATAATCTACTTTTTAGAAAAATGATTCCAGGCCCGAGTTCACTCACGGCCAATTTCAAACCAAAATAACTAAAAATCCTTGTTCAAAATTAAGAAAATGAAAAAAACACTATCCTATAATCCATTTAGAACTGATTGCTACTTACTTCTGATTTCTTCTTGTTGTCTTACGAGAATTGTAAGACAGAGCAGAGCAGAGCGTTTTTTTACAGAGAGCGTGAGCTGCTGATTATTGAAAGCTTAGATATTTTGAATACCTTGTTGGTTCCACCGTAGAAGCTATGCTTGAAGAGAACGACTCCTTCTGTCTCGCCCGGAACGAGGAGCATGGAGCCATTCACACTCGAGATCTTTACATCTGGTCCAGGCTTGAGAACCTTGTAGTTAGTTGGGTCACCACCATATTGTGCGTCATTGTAGTTTGCGTAGGTGTACAAGATCCAGGTTCCCGAAGTAACAACGGCTTTTACGAAGGAAATACCATCCTTTTTCAGGTTCTTCTCTGAATCTGAAAACTCCCGGCTCAAACCGCTCGCGTCGTACAACTTGATGGACATGATGGATCAAACCTGGAATAGATTGACATGGAAATAACAAAACAGATGTAAATGAATTTACTACTGATTACTTCGGACTGATTACTTCGCATTAAAGTCCGTTTTTGCACAGACGAGGCTTTAAGGTAAAAATTCTATCAATAAAAGCTATGGAAATCTCGAGAAATGAGCGGTCGAAGAAGGCAAGAATTTTCAAATTGCCAAAACGGCTCTTCCGAATAGGGCCGATGTAATTTTGGGAAGAGTTGGCCTACCAGCAGGTAGTATTTAAAACAAGACTGAGACATTTTTGGTGTGTTTCTGATTTCCAGCTACATCTTTCGGGAGATTTTTCCCAACCTTTTGTTTTCCAAGCTTGTCTTATGGGAAGATCACTTCTTCTCGACGTCTTACGAAGCTGCAAAAGACAACTTTGGGAGTGTCTATGAGATTCCTTTAATAGCATTTCATAGATCAGAACTGCGCATGTCACAGGGGAGTAAAAAAACTTAATTAGGCCCCTAGGACATAATCAAAAGAACTTTTAAAAAAAATGATTGACACGTTTCACCATACCTACATAATATCATTGTGGCTGACAACTGGCGCTTCACGAGGAGGTGGTCCTCAAAGACCAATCCTCAACAAGATGTTGCTCGATAGTTTAACAGCAAATTTTTCAATTTTGAAAAGATTAAAAACGCTTGCGAGTTTCACCTCTTTGCATACCTTTAAATAGAATAACTCAGCTTGGTTATTTTGTGGTTTCACGGTAGCATTCCAGCTCGTACTCTCTTGTGTTTTTTTAATATTTCTAAAAAAATGTGTCCACGCCCTAACGATATTTCACAATAGAAATTGGTCGGTTGTGCTTTAGTCTAAATGTAAACAAGAAGTGAAACGATCCGATAAGTTTGCCACTCCCACTAAGAATCAAAGGACAAAAAAGAACAACACTTCTGAACATACGATGTTGCTTGATGTTTTGAAGACAAAAACTCGATTTAAAAAAGATAAAAACCGCACATGCCTCTCAAATCATAGCTTGATTGTCTCCTGGTTTCACCATAGCATTCCAGCACGTTCTCCCTCACTAGCCATTTCGCAAAGGTCAATTGCCTTTCATGTCATGGTATTGTCTTTCATGTCAATCATGTCATGTAAATTGGATTCCGCAAAGTAAATGTTGTAAAGTAATCAACCTAACATTGGCGCACACTAAGAATGGCATATGGCAGAAAGAACTTTGCTTCCACCTCGCCTGTTAAATGGTTTATGTCCTTTGTGAAGACCTCGTCGCTAAGAGTGGCGGACTGGCTAGGCTGGCTATGTGGCACAAATAGCCTTGATCTCATGTACAAATGTTTTCTTGGCCGCCTCGAGCTGAAGACACCGATTTTTTTTCTGCGCAATCAGTACAATAAAAAAAAACTTTTATTAGAGATCGAACGCACTTTACTATTCTTTGATTATTTATAGTTTTAGGTGTAGTTTTAGCATGCGATGGATGCCTTAGAGACAATCAAAAGAGCTAAAAAAAAGATGGTGGCTGAAAACTGGCGCGTCACAAGCTATTAGTCCTCAAAGACTTAATCTCAACAAGATGTTGCTCGATAGTTAAACAGCAAACTTCAATTTTTTAAAAGAAAAAAACGCTTCCGAGTTTTATCTCTTTGCATGCTTTTAAGTAGGAGATGACAGCTTGTTTATTTTGTGGTTTCGCGGTAGCATTCCAGCTCGCACTCTATTTTGTTTTTTCACATTTCTAAACTACTAAGTGCCCACGCTCTATTCCAGCACGTTCTCCCAGCGTCATACCTTTGCATGCTTTTAAGTAGGAGATGACAGCTTGTTTATTTTGTGCTGTCAGGGTAACACTCCAGCTCGCACTCTATTTTGTTTCTTCACATTTCTAAACTAATAAGTGCCCACGCTCTAACAAGTGCATTCCAGCACGTTCTCCCAGCGTCATACCTTGTGTAATGATATTTTTAAATAACCAATTTCGCAGTGGGGTCAATTTCAAAAGAATGGCTTCTCACACGTTTTCTCATTGCCCTAGGGGAAACTAGATTAAAATTTACTCGCCTCTTATGTCATGGTACTGTCTTTCATGACAATCATGTCATGGAATTTGGGGGTCCCAAAGTAATTGCTGCAAAGTAATCAACCCAACATTGACGCACACTAAGAATGGCATTGAGAAAGAACCCTGAAACCATCCTGCTAGTTGAATGGTTCATCCTTCGTGAAGACGTCGTCGCTAGGATCTGTCGGAATTAAAAAAGGACGGCAGGGCATTTAGAAGTTAACACGTGATTTGTGTACTTTTCCTTCACTTAGAACGCTCACGCCAACAGCTAAAGGCCTAACACGAAATCATCACTGGAGTCACAAATATCATCACAAATAATCAATTTCGAGTTCACTGACATAGTAAAAAGTAGAAATAATAACATTTTGTAGTACATGGAGGCTAGTATCTCCTCAGTGAGATCAACTGGCACTCTAAAAACAGACTTTCTGCCTCTTTTTACAACTTGAAGATCACATCACCATTTTTCTCTTGGAAATTCAGCTCTCTTTTTGTGATTCTTTTCATTATATTTTAGATTCCTCAGCCTATTCTTTTCCTGCTTTTTCCTCCTCCACTCTTTGATCCTCGCAAGCTTTTCTTCCTTTTCGTTAACCATACCTCTTGTCAAGCGCACTTGAAGCGATTTTTACAGATTGCTAAATCTCAGAAAAATTATTGAGCTTGAAGAACCGGCGACCCTTGATAACGTCGCAGAAACCCCCAAAACAGGAAAGGTTACCAAACTATTTTCGACACGGAGATGAAAAGATGAAGGCGAAAATGGCGGAGCAAACAGCAGATCTCATAGCGCTTTTGGTGGCATTTGTGGCGAGACTCCGCTCTCAATATGGCGTCAACATGGTAAAAAGCGTGGCGACTTGGTCAAAAGTGAATATTTTGGCCGTTTCTAAAGATATGGACCCGAAAACTTGGAAATGACAAGAGAAACTTATGAGCATTGAAGTGTCATCGATTTTGAAACCCGACTTCGCCGTGTTTGAAGTATAGTAGCGAAGGAGCAGGTTAGTTGATGAAAGATGTTATTGCGTAATCAGGTTTTACAAAACCGTAGCGACTGTTTTACACTGATATTTCTCCGTTGATAGTCAATCCTTTAGACTGATTTTTCGCTATTTTAGAACACCAAGTATGAGCATTTGGTTAATGTGTTTTTGTTCCCACAGGATTCCAGTTCAGTCAATCTACGGACAACAACTTGGTGTACTTCCAAATTCTGAAACCCAGTGTTACACAAAGGATACTTAAGAATGATGAATCTTTTCTATTCGTTTTAATAAACTTGAAATGTAAAAGTTTTGCTCAAATGTAGTTATAGCCGCAAACGCTAATCACACGTATTTCAAACTTTACTAGAACAAACTTGACACATTGTTGAATACGGTAACTGAAAATGACAAAATTACAAACACGCGAATGAGCATAAAATAACTTACATCGTATGAGTGAAAGTACTGGAAAACGACAAAGCGAAATAAACAAGGATACTTACAAGACGAATGTGACCAAACCAAAGACGAAAACATGAAACCCAGAGCTAGATATGTAACGGTAATTTTCACAAACTAGACAACTAACCAAATAAATTACGCGCAACCAATATATATACGATATGCAAATAAATATAACAAGTACAAAACTGGTAACTGACAAAGGACACTAATGGAAGACGAGAAAATAAACACCTAACACGAAACTATGAAACACCAACACTAACAAAAAATGATAGTACAAATTCTTGCGCCTACATTCCGGCCCCTTAAATACGAAGATCTAAATCCAAGTATTTACCAGCAAAACACTAAAAGGCGCAAACTTTACAGAGCTAATTGAACTTAGACGATTTTTACTTAATGTTCAGACGCCTAACAGAGTCAACAAAGTACTATAAAGTGTCAATTTAAATCTTTCTCCTCAAAGAAAAGTCACGCAATCTTGGTAATCATACGATTAAGGAAAGTCAATGAATTTTTCCTTCCACTTGTTCAATTGATTCCAGAAGACATAGTTTACTGATAGGGCGCTCCAAAGTTGATGTCTTGGTTTTAACCTTGACACGGCGGACAAATCCATATTTGTCAGGAAAAACCTCTGTAATCCGACCAATTGCCCACGCATTCCTTGGCAAAGTTTCGTCAACCACGATAACAGTGTCCCCCACGGCAAAGTTTTTCTTTGGTCGAAACCATTTCTGACGTGACTGCAGCAGAGGGAGATATTCTCTCTTCCAGCGACCCCAGAAAACATCAGCCAAATATTGTACTTGCCGCCATCTTCTCCTGGAGTATGTGTCGCTCTTTAAGAACAAGCCTGGAGGAAGAGGTGTCTCGCTGCGAAGCAGGAGAAGGTGGTTCGGTGATAGTGGTTCCAAATCCTTTGGATCGTCAGAAACTGTGGTCAGAGGTCTTCCATTGATAATGCTCTCACATTCACACAACAAGGTCTGAAGACTCTCATCATCGAGACTTTGTTCTTTAACCAGGGCACCCAGAACCTTGCGTGTAGATCTAATTAGCCTCTCCCAGACACCACCATGATGCGAGGCTCCGGGTGGGTTAAAAACCCATTTGATGCTTTTCTGCAGAAGGGCGTCATGAATTTTAGCTTGATTCCAGCTGTCAATCATGACACGAAGCTCCCTTTCACCTCCTACGAAATTTGAACCATTGTCGGAGCGAATTTCTTTAACTTGACCTCTACGAGCGATAAAACGTCTGAGTGCGTGAATAAAAGAGTCAGTGTCCAGTGAGTGACACACCTCCAGATGAACAGCTCGCAGTGCCAAACAAGTGAAGATTGCACCATAACGTTTGACCATGCTCCTCTTTTGACGAACAAGAAAGGGACCAAAATAATCTATCCCCACGCACGTGAAGGGGGGTTGATCTGGTGTAACTCGAGGCCGAGGCAGATTTGCCATCTTTTGTTCTCCAACGGGACCTTGTCGTCGTTTGCAATCAAAGCAGGATGAAAGCACACTTCTAACAGTAGAGTTGGCACGAATCAACCAGAAACGTTCGCGCAACAGAGCCAGGACATATTCTCTACCAGAATGGCCGCTTTTCTGGTGAAAGTGGTTCACAAGCAGACGAGCTAGATGAGAATCTTTAGGAATGATAATCTGATGCTTAGAGTCGTCTGATAGGGTAGCCCTGCTAAGGCGCCCGCCAACACGAAGAAGACCATCGGTCAAGATCGGATCTAATCTTGCAAGTGCACTTGACCCCTTGACGCATTTACCTCCCTTAACGGCTTCTAATTCTTCTGCAAAGGTGAGATTCTGCTCGAACTTGATAATCTCTTTTCCGGCTTCTTCCAGCTC